TGCTTGATGCTCGAGCCAAGATATGAGACAAGTATGTGAGATATGCGTGGGAGACACTTAATGGCACAAAGATGATAGCAAGATGATTGCACACTAAAGGTAGCTATGCGGAGTAAGTGTATCACTAAGATGCACAATGAGTGTGCCCCGACAATTTTCAACTCGCTAGTCTCGATGGGAAAGGTACGCAATAGGCTCGGGGCTATCAATGCAATGGCAAGGAAATGTACAATGGTGTTGTCGAGGTTACCGTCCTTGCTTACGGTTACGGTGTCAAAAGGTGAAGTGGTCGTTGTTGAGTCCGTGGCGATGATGAGTGGCGGAGGAAGAAACCGTTCCTAATTAGCCGAAACACCTTAGAAAACGGAAAATCTTAACTCAAAATCTCAAACAAAATTGGGGAAAGTTGGTGGAATGGTATGGTGGTGGTTGTGAAGAAGTAGCCGTCCCTAAGTAGCCGAAACACCATAGAAGACTCGAATCACAACTCAAGCAACCACAAATGCAATGGGGATCGAAATGGGTTAGGTTGCAGAAGTTTTGGGTTGTGGTGCGGAAGTTTGGTGGATGGCCTATGCAAAGATGCCAAAATACACAAAAATTGATGGAGTCAAATGGTGATGGAAGTATTTTTGTGGGATGTCAATAGCTACAAAACGAGCTAAAGAACGTCAAAATTGGACTCTGGATGAATTAGTTATGACCGAAACAAGAATCCAGTCGTGTCAGTTTCAGGGGTAGCCGGACATCTAGGAGTAGGTCCGAATGATCCGGGTTTGTCAACTCGGGTGTTGATGTTTGGGTGCGTGGGTTAGCCGGACGTCCGGGAAAGGGGCCAGCTGATTGGGAGGATGTCCGGATGATCCGGGCAAGTCAAACTGCTCGGGATTTCCTCTCGGGGACGCGATTTGGGCGGAAATTTTCGATTTCAGGGGGTCAAAATTGACGGGAAAAGAAAATTTTTGGAGGAATTTTGTGATGGGGAGGTGGGGAAAGCCAAGATCGACTTGCCAAACAACAAAATCGTGGATCAAACACAACAAAATCTCACAAGAACCAACAAAATGCAAAAAAATTGGTGCGGATTTTCAAATTGCGACGAAGTCAAACAAAATTAGGCTAGAACATGGGGGGGGCTCCAAATTCGTGTCAACGTGGCTCATGATACCAAGATGATGAAGGATACGGGCCAAAGTACCCGATTTGTCTTGATGTTCACGACTTGGAGGGTGCTACGAGGAGGAACAAGAGGGGGAAATCACAAGAGGAACACTCAAGAACAAGTCCAATCACACATCCAGTAGACAATCAAACACACAAGATCCACAAGGTACATGAACAATCAAAGGGAAAGATGCAAGGTAGAGTTCATCCCAAATCCAAGAGGAGATGAGGTCTTGATGATATAGGTAGATCCTTCCCGCATGGGGGTCTTGAATCCCTCGGGATCTTCTCACATGGAGGCCTTGAACTCCATGGGAGTGTCCCTCTCTCTCAAGAGGAGTAGAGGTAAGGAGCAAACCTCAACTAGAACGAGCTATAACTTTACTAACCCTAGAAATGAGGAAGGGGAGGTCTATTTATAGTCCTAGGCACGAAGGGGTAAGTGAGGAGGGGATACAAGGCCACTTGGGCCGCATTGCGCACAGGTAAGGCCGGATGATCCGGACGGAGTCCCGGATGATCCGGCTTTGGGTGGAAGCCTTCGGGTGTCTTCGGACGCAGTTAGCCGGATGATCCGGGAGCTCGTCCAGATGATCCGGCCGAAGCCCGGATGATCCGGGAGGGGACCCGGATGTCCGGCCTGTCTCTGGCAGCCGCTCCATCTTCTCGTTTCTTCTGTCTTCTCTTCCATGCTTCCCTCGCGGATGGTGTAAGCATACACATGCACTCGCACTCCTTGTTGATGGTGAAGCTCCGGTAATACCTATGCATGCACACGAGAGGAGTGTCAAGTAGTATACCATCCTGAAAGGGGTCAAGTGAATACGTAGATGATTCACCTTTATGTGTGTGAAGTAGATGTCGCGTGTGTCACTTGCCAAACGGACTCTTGACATGGTGATGTCCATAGGATGCTCCGCATCAAGAGGGGATCAGAGAAAGGAACTAACGGGCAGGAAGGGGATTCTAACAAGCCTCGTACGGATGGATCTGGTCGGTGTTGAGGTCTAGCTCGTGGAAGTCGCGGACTTGAGCTTGGGGAGCTTCACTTGAGCGTAATCTTGAGGTGCTTGTCGGCGAAGATGCCGCATGTCCAGAGGCAAAGATGCCTTGAAGTCGCTTGGCAAAGATGCCAAGGTAGATGGTGAAGTCGTAGAGCGGTGGTTGGTGTTGAGCTCTTGACCTTCACGTTCTTGTCGTTGATGGTGTCGATGCCGATGTGACCTTGCTGGAGATGATAGGCCGGAAGCATGTGTACTTGAGCGTCTTCTCGAAGATGAGGAAGATCTCTTGGCGGTCTTGATGAGGGCTTTGAGCTCCTCCATTTGAGCTTCCATCTTGGCGTCGATTGACTAGCGAGTTGAAAATTGTCAGGCCACGCTCATTGTGCACCTTAGTGATACGCTTACTCCGCATAGCTACATTTAGCGTGCAATCATCTTGCTATCATCTTTGTGCCATTAAGCCTCTCCTGTGCATATGAGATCCAAAGGAACGTGGAGCGCTACGTTGCATGCATGGCCACCCGTCAGCGCTCCATGTTCAAGACTTGGCTGCCATCCCATGCAAAATGCATCCATCCAGGCCCGTCGATGAGGGCGTGTGAGGTGAGCGACCGAACAGGGCCCCCAAAATCGAGGGGCCCCCGATCGAAGAGAAAATCGGAGCACCGCAAAAAAAGAAAAACTGATGAACCGCCTGGTTCGTATGTCTGACCTGAGTTGCTCCACGCCCCAAGCACCCTGAACGCATGCACCCATTTCTAGGTCGAGTCTAGGCCGGAAGGGAAAGCGTTGCTCTGCCCTAATCAAGATTTCACCCAATTCACTCCACACCACCTCGAAAACCAATCAACCCCGCATCGAGTCGGTCAATAATACATCTCCTGCGCGGCGGTGACCGGAGCAATGGAAGCGGTAGGATCTAGGGACCCCTGCGGCAGCCATCGATGCCGAGGCCGGCGTTGATGCTAGAGAAGAAAAGATCTCGCTGCCTTGCCGTGAAATCTGGCTGCTGGCGTCGTGCGTCATGTTGTTGGAGTTGTAGTCTTCTTCCAGTGATGGTGTCTTCAACTTTGCCGGTGGCAACGGCGCTGCCCTGCTGGATCTGAAGATAGGCTGCTGCACGGTGCAGGCTTGGAATAGACGCCCACCTCTTGCGCTAGCGGGTCCAGCTCAGAACAACGCTATCCAAAACTTGTTAGCCCATCTGCGCCTGGTTTGCCGCCTCAAGCCTGGCACCAATTCTAGGTAACTTTCTATACTATGCTCCTGTAAATACTTGAAGGGAAAACTTTGTTTTTGCCACTCTAGCTTTTGCCCACTTTGCTTATGCCACTCTAGAATTTAACATTTCACTTTTGCCACTCTTAGCTTTTGACAATATATCAATTTTGCCGTTCAGTGGCAAAAGCAAAATTTTCAGAGTGGCAATTGTGATACATTGCAAAACCTAAGAGTGGCAAAAGTGAAATGAAAAATTATCGTTTTTGCCACTGAATGGCATTTGTGATGTATTTTCAAAAGCTAAGAGTGGCAAAAGTGAGATGTCAAATTCTAGAGTGGCACAAGCAAAGTGGGCAAAAACTAGAGTGGCAAAAACAAAGTACGAAGTAACACTAGGTTATATAGTTAAGTAAAAACAAACTATTTTATAAATAGTACTCCCTCCGTCCCAAATTACTTGTCGCTCAAATGGATGCATCTAGAACCGAAATTGTATTAGATACGTCCATTTGAACGACAAGTAATTTGGGACGGAGGGAGTACGAAGTAACACTAGGTTATATAGTTAAGTAAAAATATACTTTAGTTGTATAAAAATATTCAAATTTAAGGGCCTAATTTTACATTTCGCACCGGGGCCTCAGATTTCTAGAGATGGCCCTGCATCCATCACCATCGGTGTGCAGCCACGTGGATCATGTCCATCATCATCGTACAACCGTCGTTGCCCTCATGTCGTCCTCATCGCCCATCACTAGCCGCATGCCGTCATCGTCGTGGAGCCTTCTCGTCGAGACGCCGCAGGACTTCTCGTGGAGCCTTCTCATGTATGCTAAATGCTATTGAGCAGCCCGACCGCACGATTTCTTGACTCTGATCTGTATCGAGCGGGATAAGTAGTAGATGAATGCAGCGAATTAGCAAGAATACCTCATGCATCCAACCTACTCAATTGGAATTAAGGGCAAGAATATTTCTCACGTCTCTAGCAGCAGCTTTCGTTTGCAATTTGCCATCCAAGACATTTGTTGTCGCCGCAGGTACCATCCCACCTAGACACGCTGATGGCCGCGGGATGAGGTGCACACTGCCGGGTCTCATGATGCCGATGGAGATCGTCTTGATGAGCACCGTCGGACGAGTAACCGCCTTGCCTGGTATTAATTTTGGCAAACAATGCACAATAAGAATCCCTACTATCACGAGACCAGTTTTGGAAGTAAGCCTTATCCATGCAAAGGGGACTTGGACTGTGGTTAATTATGTAGTTTATTTAAAACAGAAGGCTAAACGGGCATGCATGGGGCCACCCGGTATTGCGTTGGCGAGGGCAGTTTGGTGGTGGGAGTATGTACTCCTAGGTGTATGCGCGCGCGCGTGTGTATTCATTTATTAGGCTAAGCTACACAGTTTCATGGATTTCGTACAACATGGTCCTCACCTATATAGCTATAAGGCTTTGGTAGTTTAGTTGGACTGTCTAAACAGACTAGACTTTCATGATCTGTTTATGGCTGACCAAGATATTGAGTTACACGTAGCTGCGGTGTGCTTTTTCCTATCTGCAAAATCTGGCTTGCACCTGATGTATATGACCACCCTTTCTTATAGGTTGTTAGAGATAAGAGGACTGGCAAAACAAAAGGTTATGGATTCGTCAGTTTTTCAAACCCTACAGACCTTGCTGCAGCAATAAAAGAAATGAATGGTTAGCATTTCCAATGAGCTCTATTGATTCACTTGCTGTCACTTATCAATATGATCTGGTTTACTGTTATATACTTGTACTTATTTTGTTTGGAACTCACTTTTCTCAGGAAAGTATGTTGGGAATCGCCCTATTAAATTGCGTAAGAGCAATTGGAAGGAGAGGACAGATGTCGAGGCTCTACAAAGACAAAAGGTTTATACCATGTTTCCTTCTTTAGCCAAGTCCGCGTGTCTTCTTGTCCGCTCTAATTTTTTTCTTCATATTTCCCATCTTTCAGAATCATATTCAGAAGAAACCTAAAACACAAAAGAAGGGTATTCTTCACAAGTAAAGCTCTATTGGGTTGTACCGGGCTGAGCCCTGTAGAACAAGACTGTAAGTTCCTTTTGAGATTACATGATAGTTTTAATTTTAAATAATCACATGGGCCCTGGAAGTACAGTGACACAGCATGTTTTTAGTGCACTGAGCCATTCTATATGTTCATAATTTGCACAAAAAATTAAAGATATACTCCCGCCGATCCAAAATAAGTGTCATGGTCTTGGTTTAAATTTGAACAAAAACCACAGCATTTATTTTGGATCGAAGGGAGTACATAGCACCGACCTTGTGTCATTTCAGGTTTATCATTTGCCCATATGATTCCATGGAGAGAAGTTGTGGAATAAAGAAACATTGTTCTACCATGTAGTTGTTTCTGGTGACTTTGTGGAAGGCCTGTTTTAAATAAATAAAAATAAAGAAGCAGTGGAAGCAGTATCCAGGACTTGGTTGATATTTTTTCTTATTATGTCAAGTCCTTGCTTATAGCTTATTTCGGGTTGTTACTGGTTGGTTTCCAATGTATTCAAATAAACTTGTTTTGACTTATTTTCCATTTTCTTTTTCTTAAGGCTATGATTCATCTATTTGGAATGATAACTAATATCTTCATAACTTTAAATTTGTACCCCTAGTTGACAACGCCCGTCTTTTCAAAAGTAACACAAAGTGGAGAGATATCAGCTTGCGGTCAGTTTTGTGAACTTTAGATTGTTGCAACTCAAGTAGGAGAAGACCCACCATCTGACTATCCGCAGGTGCAATTGCTTGACTTTTGATCTTGTGATTGGAACCACTTGAATAGTGCCAACCATGCTTGGTGTGATGCTGCCATAACATATAGGGTATATAATCAACCAAAAATTTCAATCAGTATCAGTTACGCAATACGGAGAACTGTGGCAATCAGCACAGTGCACCGTCTGTCTGATCCTATAGAGCAGACTTGAGAGTGTTCAATTGTGAGGTTGCTTATGTTTCTTTTACTTCCTCATTTAGCTAGCTTGCATTGAACATCCCCTTGGCCTCCCATCGCCATAAATGTGCGCATGCTAGACACTAGATCATAATCCCTGTCCTTGAAGCCTATCCCTGCCCCTGATTTTGTGAGTGTCTTCACTCGGATTCCTACATGTTTATATTGGTGGCCCTTTAACTTGCACGAGCACCATGACGTGTTAACTTTAGTGAACTTTATTGTGGTAAGAGTTGTGGACTTGTGGTGCCTTGGCTCTTTCTTTTCTATACTTAACACTTTATTGCAAAACCTGCCTTGCCTCTGCAAAAGATTGATGGATGGTTTGTTTCATGCAGTGCTCCTTTGGATAAAGGACATCTGAAAAGTACAGAGGCTGGGCACCGGTCAATGCGTGCAAGGATGATACTATACCTATTGAATTGTAACGCTTACTAAGCAATGTTCCATCTGGGTGACAGGCATATTTTTACATTTGCAAGAGTTACAACTAGTATTTATAATCAGCTTGTTCCGTTGTAACGATGTCATTGTATTGCAACATAGAGGTTAGGCACTGTTCCTTTTTTGGAAGAATTTTCAGACCTGTAAATTCGAACCTTTGATCAACCAAGCAAATGTGGAATATAAGATTATACTCCCTCTGACCCATAATATGAGATACCTTTTGACACTACACTGGTGTTAAAAAACGTCTTACATTATGTGACGGAGGGAGTATCTGATGCTGATAGTGGCAGTCTTGGTATATCCTCGCATGAATAGCCCACCCATGGCCTGCAATGGCTAATTTTTTTATTGACGAAATTCAGTTAGTACTGCTTCCATCCCATATACAAGGGAGTACAGGTCAAGAGCCCAAGGGGCAACAGGAAAAATAAGAATTTTTTTGTCAATCAATACAGGCACGCTAAAGCCATGTCCGCAATGAAAAAAAAGGCCCAGGATTTAATACCCTCTAATAGCAAACACTATGAATTGTTGTGTACAATAAGATGAATATACACATTTTAACTTGATAGTATAGTCATCTAAAACTAAATATATGTCTGAACACACACACACACACAGGTTGTATATCCCGCTGAATCCATATGCAAACTGTCAAAGCCTGCTGTCTTGCTCCCTCCATTATGCTCCAAATGACCAGAGATAAAAGCGTTCAGAGTATTCCTTTTTCTTTTGCTCACCCTGCATTCTTGACCTAGCATCCTACCACCAGACGTGAAGATCAAGATAAGTAGGAAGTGACCTCGTTTCAGAATCATTCTAAAACTAAAAGGTACTTAAAGGCCATCAATCGAAAAGAACACAAAATTCTTAAATACTGACCGAGGCATCTCTATGTAAATCTGGAAGAGAGACAAACAATCAAAGATATCACAACATAAAATAGGATAGAGAAATTCATCCAAATCAGACACGTTGGCTGTGCGTATGAGTCAAAATGTATAAAGAAATAAGACCGAGAGGCCAACTCGCTACTATCTTGTATAAATATACAAAATAGCCACAATTTCTGAATAAGATGGAGCATAATTCTAATAAATTATTCGATGGAAGCTTTGATTGCAAAATAAACAAAAATGTTATATCTTGCTGTTGTTTGAGGTTTCATAATTGGAGAAGAAAAACAGTCTTTAACCAACATACAACACCATTTATCAAGGAATGAAAAATATGGGGGGTTCATCTTGTAATGCTCGTTCTGGCTCATCTTGGGAGATGAGCGAACACCTTGACTGTATGACATACACGGCAGCTGGCCTGGTTGTACCCCTCCGACCTGACGACATGCCTCGAGTACTCGCTCATGGTGCCCCTGCTGGTCTGGTTCCGGACATGGCTCAGGAAGAAGATGCCCGGCTGGTAGCATGGGGTGTCAGGCATCTTCAAACACGAAGGGCCGGTTGGCCCAGCCCTGCTAGGTCTTGAACGCCTGCAGCACCAAAGGTGAGTAATCCTCTCCGTTACTAAAAAATGTGTTAGGACAGCAGAAAAGAAATGTCCAGCATATCTGTCACTACTTTTTCCTGGAGATGCCACCACCTATTGTGAAGTTTAATATCAATGGACCAATACTCATTTCAAACTGCAAAAATAGAATGCTGACAGAGGCCAATGATATTCAACTATCTAACAATGTCACGAGTTAAAAAGATGAAGGCAAGAATGTGGAAACATCTGCATGGTTTGAGTACAGTTCAAACAAAACCTACGTATATATACATAGGTAGCCATATGGAGCTGTAAACCAAGACAGAGGCCACACAAGGCAGAATATCGAACTGTGACAAAGGAACATCAAAGCAACACTAAAGAGTGTTCTAAAAAAGCAACACTAAAGAGAGAAAATAGCAAAGAGGAAGGAAGATTTTCTTTGTCCAAATAACTTCATATTTGGTGCTAAAGTTTCATCTTAGAAGAAGAAATCCATCATCAGCGAGGAAAACATGTACAGAACTGGAAAGCTAATTCTAAAACCAAACTTAAAATGCGAGCTAATTATTTATGTGCACTGAATCCATATAAAAACCAATGATCATTCTCTCTCTGAAAAGAAGTAACTTCATGAGGGGTGGTGTTTTTCGTACCTGAATGGAATCCTTGCACACACGAGAGCAAAGCTGATATAAAAAATACTTTCTGTAGCGCGGGAGGTAGCAGTAGTACAACACAGATATAATGTAAAGACAAAACCGGGGAGACCACATAGCCATGTGAGAGATGACATAGGAATTGAGAAAATATAATAGGACCCAAATCTAGCACATTCTTTCGAAGATATCCTAAAGTTGTTTAGAAAATTTGTCTTCATATTTTCACTACGAAAACGCTAATTAAATCAAATCGTGAGCTGCACTACTGATCATTAAATAAGCAGCAGTGCAACACTCTCCATCAGCCAACCACCTAGACATCCAAAATTAGGATTTATAATGAGATCCTTCGTTGAAAGGTGAGAACCTGTCATTGCAATTGACATGTTCAGGCACAATTTAATTTAGTTATTCTTGTCGGTGTCTTCAAAGCATTATCGATGTATAAGATGGAAGGTATTAAGTTAGCAAACTGACATGCTAACATAAACATTTCTACTGGCAATCAGACAAATCACGCAAGTAAGCAATATAAAAGAGGATCGTAGATGATAAATCACGCATGTAAGAAATATGAAGTGCGGGTTTCTGTACACTTAGCACTTCTCATTTTCTACATAGAAAGGTCCAATCAGATGTCCCAACAACAGTATATGTTTCGAAGGCCAAAAATGCTTATTTTCGTTATTGTACTGCCTAAAGCATTCTTCATGGAGATAATCATGATATGTGATCATGCAGAAATTATTTTGCCTTTTGAAAAAATTGGTCTTAGTTGAAAATATATACATTCTAACTCGCTCAAGTAGTACTAAAACATGCTCTCGTACAATGGTCAATCATAAAAGGTCGCTTAATAAATCATTTAAAATTCCGCCAAACTTCTCGATGATTATCTCAGGGTGCTCAATATACTACTACTTCAAGGCATGCAATCAAATAGATAAACATGTTACAGAGAAGCATCATCAGTGGGACATAGTACTACACTGACACACAATTCATAGCTTTTTAGTATTGCTGGGTTGGTACAGTATCCCAGCGTTGATGTATATACGGTATCCCAGCGTTGATGTATATACGGTGGAAGTTTAGGAATGAGTTCACTTCTTTAACAAAATAGGAAAAGTGTGGCCTATAAAATGCAACAAAGTAAACTGATGGGCAGGGAACCATTATTTAAATTCCCATGGTGAATTTCCTACAAAAGTCTGCAGCAGGAACACACATGACAGAACACAAAAGCCATGTATATAAAATATACAGATAACATGTATGAGAGGAAGTTGTCATCCATACACTTAACTTCGCTATATAAATCATGTCCAGCTCCTCAATAGGCCAAAAGAGGTATGAGAGGAAGTTGTCATCCATACACTTAACTTCGCTATATAAATCATGTCCAGTTCCTCAATAGGCCAAAAGATGTCA